GCCGGCGGGGCCGGGGAGGGAGGCGGCTGCGGCGCGGATCGGGCGATTCCACGTGCTCCCCGCGGCGGGTTGAAACCGTTGGCGGGCGCTGGCTGAGAGGTGAGGGGCGGCGGCCCCGAAGGCCGACGGGGGCTGCGGCGCAGAGAGGGGGCGGGGGCGGCGAGCCGACGCCCGCACGTCCACCATCAGACCCCTCCTCCGGCTTGGCTCAGCGGGATGGTTCCCCGGGGAGGTGGGGGTGGGCTCGCAGAGAAAGACCCGTCCTTCTGGCTTTTGGAGCGCAGCCTCCGGTGCTGGGAACCCCTCGGTCCTGGGCAGCCCGCCGGGCTGGGCTTGAGGCTGGCTGCACGCCTCAGGTCTGGGGAGCTGAGTCCCTGCGGAGAGGGCTCAGGGCGTCGTGACTGACAGCTCGGGCTTAGGACCGCAGAAACCGCGTGGGGATCCCGGTTTGCCAGTCCCCGGACCGTGACGGCTCAGCGCCTCGGTTCCCTGGCCTGTCAAAGGGCATTAATACAGAACCCAACGGAGAGGACGTCGACTGTGTGAGCAGCACAAACGTGCCTGCCACCAGGGACAGGGCTTGGCACGTGGGAGGTGCTCAGCAAATGTCCAGATTCACCGCAGCATGGACTCAGCAGACCGCTGCGGAAGAAGATGGGGTAGTGCCTGCAAGGCTGCCTTTCCTGCAGATCAGGCCCTTAGGACTTGTTCACAGGTTGCCCCCAGCCTCCAGTCTAGTGCCTGGCAGGTAGCAGATGTCCATAGATACTTATCCACCAGCAAGGGACAGGAAATGCCAGGTTGGATGGGGCCAGGCAGGAGTGGGCCTGTCACCAGGCCTTTACTGTGCCTCGGGGGGAGTGCTTGCCTTCTAGGTCCTCTCTCAGACCCTCAGGCCGGGGGTGTGATGGGCTTGCCCTGGAGGTGGTGGGTGCCAGTGTGACCACGCACATGAATGGCTTTGCTAGAGACCTAATGATGTGGGTTTCTTTCCTCTTTTTCTTGGCTTAGAGCCAGTGATGAAAAGCTCAATCCATAGGCCAGACAGCCAGATAGATAGCCACAACCTCTCAGAGGAGAGGGGCACACCCAGGTCAGAGGGGTGAATTCCAGTGACTGACCCAAGGGTGCTGTGGCCATGGATGGGACTTTCTGCTCACATTTCCTCTCCACATGCCCACACCTGTAGATGGAGGGAGCTTGCAGAATCTCTGTGGCTATGTGGGGACCCAGGAAGGAAAAGGGGACTCGTGTTTAGTTTCAGCCCCGTGAAGAATGCTGTCTTTTTACACTCTGTGCTAAAAGTTGAAACACGGTACCCCAAAGCCTAATACAGCATATTTCCACTCTCTTAGTTTCCTAAGTATAAATGTTAGTTTTCCAACATCATTTGAAAGTTTACTTGAAGTTTCCAACATCATTTGAAAGTTTACTTAAATTTTTTTCACGCTTATTTATTCGTGTGAAATTTGAGTAAGTTTGATCATCCAGGCAATGCTTGCTTTCTCAGATAGAGGGACTCGTGTGTCTCTGTGCAGTAGTAACATTTGCGTTTTGAAAATTATGGAGCTGTGCTAGGCCTTGGGACCTGGACCCTGTCTGCTGCCAGTTGGGATGGTTTTGAGCTTCTGTTATTTTTAGCCCTCCCCACCCCCAACCCCAACCCCAATATGGACACACCCACCAGATTCAGTGCAACAGCAGAAAGTTGTCTGGGTGGGGTCGGTCCGGGTGTCCTTCAGCTCTGGAGAAAAGGGCAAGCTTCTTACAACTTAGCAGTGCACAGGCGCCCAGTGTCCCCTCCGGTCCAGGGTGGAAGGCAGACGTGGGGTCCCAGAAGCCCAGGAAGGTGCCCAGGGACAGGTTTCTCACTCCTGCCTTGCAAAGAAAAGCTAACACATTTCTGAGTGGAATAGTGGCCACAAAAGAGTGAGTGCGACTGGAGAGGTGTCTCCCAGTGGGCACGCGACCACACTCTGCCCTCCTCCGAGCACACGTTTGCACTGTGCGTGGGGAGCCCCTGGCTGACCTGTTTCTCACAGATAGTTCCAGCCCCTGCTTTGTCAGGTCATTTCTTTTAGACAACTTTGCTTCTCTCTTCCTCCCCCTTTAATTCTTGACCTTCTGGGGTGGGCTGGAGTCTCTCACCTAGACCCCAGAGCTTCCCGAACCTTCCTCCTTTCCCCTCACTCTCCCCCATGGTCAAGAAACAATAGACAGGGGCCAGGAAGGTCAGCGAGCGCTGGGCATTTTCACTGCCTTCAGAGCGTCTTGCTGCACCCGCTGCAGATACCGTGGCCCAACCGCTACCTGTGGTAGGCGGCACACTTACGGAAGACTCGGCAACGGTTTACTCTTGTTCACAGAAGTGCTCCTTACAGACTGTTCTCGACAAATAGTTGCTAACCTTGCTCCTTTTCTAGCCTTTGTTTCCCTGAGGCCTCGCGGCCGCTCCGGCTGCTGCTGCCAGCAGACGGCCTCCACTGTCCCCACGGCCCCGGCAGGGCGCTGGGCTTGCAGGGCGCCGGCTCCTCGTCCGCGGGAGGCCGCACCTTGGGACGAGTCACACGTATTGCAGACACCAGGTGAGGGGCTGGTCACAGCGGCTGCCCGTCCACACTGCTGTGCTGGGCTGGGCGGGGCTGCGGTCCGCACACGCTCCAGAAGTGTCCGCCGCGGCCCCTGCTTGAGCAGGGGCGGAAGGTGCCGCTTCGTTCTCGGCTTGTAGTTTTCACGGGAATTTGATTGGAAATTTTCTGTGTGAGTGACTTACTAGGACCAGAAATTTCAGGCTACCATGACAGTTAACCTATTTTTTGTTTCTTTTTAGCTTTTCTAGGGCAAGACGTAAAACCAGTCTTAGAGACTAGTCATCCAGCTAAAAATGGTGTTTTTTACATGTAATGCGTGTGGTGAGTCAGTGAAGAAAATACAAGTGGAAAAGCACGTGTCTGTTTGCCGAAACTGTGAATGCCTTTCTTGCATTGACTGCGGCAAAGACTTCTGGTAAGTTCCACGTAAGTCTTGTAGGTCCATAGTTAAAGTCCACACTCGTGTCGGAAGCGCTGGCCCGACAGGCTTTTGAAAGTAGAGGTGAACTTCAGGAAAGCAGTGGCGGGCAAGCAGCCGTGTGCTTCCCGAGCGCGGCATTCCCAGCACCTGCCCCGCCGGCGGCACCCACGGCGCCACAGCCAGACCCGGGGAGGAGGAGACCGCGCGCAGAGGCCTCGGGCACTGGAGTGGCCGGGAGACCCAGGGGAATGTGCTCCCTCGTGCAAGGGGGTGTCCAGTAGGAGTTGGAGGCATTTGTAAATAAATGCGTGGTGAACACTGGGCAGACTGTCTTGGGCAGTTTGGGGGGCTCAGGAGTGGCGCGGGTGGGCGCGTGCGGGCGTCACCTGTGTGGCCAGCAGAGGCGGCGGCAGCGAGCAGGGATCAGACAGAGCCTGCAGCTCAGAAGCGACTAACGGTGGGCCCTTCGCCCTTTAAAGGGGGGACGACTACAAGAACCACGTGAAGTGCGTGAGTGAAGAGGAGAAGTATGGCGGCAAAGGTTACGAAGGCAAAGCCCACAAAGGCGACGTTAAGCAGCGGGCGTGGATTCAGGTAAGCCCTTCTTGCGTCTCCGGGGGGTCATCTCACCTCTCGGTCTCGGAAGCCTGAGCGGGGACGCGTGCCCGCGGGCCAGGCCTGGGACACTGACTCGGGCCGGCTGAGCTGGCGCAGCTCGGCCTCCCAAGCAGTTCGTGTTCCTGCAGACACGCCACAGCTTCACCTCTAATCAGTGTGTTTTGCAGATTTCATGGGGAGAATATTCTAGAATGTTCACTAGTTTTCCCTGGGCTATGAACATGAATGGAAATTTTCTACTCTGGATCTGCTTCCAGTGCTAAAGCAACTGTAATAACTCAGACCAGCTTCACCGGTCATGCCTGTCGTTATCGGAGCTGGGAAAAAAGGCATTTCCATGACTGAGGGACGGAATTTTCTCCTTAGCTAAAACAAGTGAACACACGTAACAAAAGTGACAGCAGCAGCATAATCCCAACTTCACTCGGGTCACCCGCATTCCGGGCCAGCAGGAGGCAGGGCTCGGGAAGGAGGCGGGGGTGGGAGGGCACGCCACGGCATGGGGGTGTCGTGCCCGGCGTCACTTCCGCTCTTCCCAGCGGTCCCCTCTCGTGGCCCACGGCGGCCTCGCTCCACCGCCCTGGCCGCGAGCGGCATTCAGCGCTGCGGCAGCCGGGAAACTGCTCACACCAGCTCCCTGTCCGAGTGGAAGCTTTGAAGTCAGAGTCGTGGCCCTCCAACTTCGTTCTAATTCAAAATTATTCTAGCCATTTGGTGTCCCTTGAGAGTCTACATGGCATGTTCTCCACTGCTAAGAAAGACTTAGTTGGGTTTTGATATTTTACTTGAATCTGTAGGTGACGGGTGGCTCTGACACCTTAACAGCCTGGAGTCCTGCAGGAGTCTGTCCTGCTGGTCGTCCTCTGCCATGTCTTCTTTTTAAAAAAATTTTACTTGTATTGCAACACAGGCGCGCACACACACACACACACACACACACAAAATTTACTTGTTATGCATATGAGAGCTGGGGTGTAAGCCAGAGATGCGGGGGAGAGGATCCCCCAGAGACGGGGGGGAGCAGAATGGGCAGATCAACTGAAACCCACTGCTGAGGGGGCAGTATGTAGGTCAGGAGGGGCTGCTGCGCCCTGGGGGTCACTCCCTGGGCGGGGATCAGACTCATGCGGCAGGGGCTGCACCGGACAGCTTCACGGTGCTGAGACTTCACCCCGGCGCCCCCAGGGAGGCCCCCACCATGTCTTCTTAGTTGACCAGCGCTGGTCTGCCTCCTGGGTCACTCTATTTCTAGTCATTTGCTCCTTTGAGGCT